ACTTTTTAGAGCATTTTCAACACTTTTTCGCCTCATCAATTCTTTAGCAGTAGTAAATCTCTCATTTTTTTAACACGAAGACATTTTTCATTCAAGTAGAAGTTCAGAAAAGTACGTACAAAACCTCGTAAACACATAACAAGAGCGGTCGCCATCTTTGTTTTGCGTGATGCAATTTCGTGACAACTTCCGGTTTGGGCGTGCGCAGAAAGCGTGCGCAGTAGCAATGCCATCGAACGTCCTTAAAGACCACAAGAAAGCAGAAGAATCACCTCCAAAAGAGTATTGAGTTGTGGGAAAAGCTGTTTGATCACTTAAAAGAAAAAGACCAATTCAAGATTTCTCTTGTTTATAGTAGAGTCAGTAATACTTACAAAGCTCTAACTGAAGTTAAACTTATGACTAATCGGGTAGAAGAAGCATGTCCGTGTGCTTTGAGGGACCTCCTAAGCATTCGATACAAACAAGCCAGCTTCAAATAAGAATTCACTGGACCTAGATGATCTTTATAGACGATTTTGTATAGTTTTTCATTTGCCTGCATTTTGTTTCACGATCTTCATCTTAAAAGAATGATTGCTCGTTCCTGGGTTATTGGTTCCCATTCCAGCTACTCTACAGTTCCTACGACGAAAGAGCTAAACGTAATGCTTTGGAACAAGTGGAATTACAGTTTGAAAATTGCATAGAAAATATCTTTTATTGATAAAGAAAAAGAATTATAATTAGAGGTAGAAGAACCGGAAGGCCTGTTTAATAGATTGGTTTCCCCTCTGATACAAAAGCTGACTAAGCGATGAGATCATTGTCATCATTCCCGATGGTCCTCTGTTCATGGTACCATTTGCTGCTCTACAAAATCCACAGACTGGCAAGTTTCTATCTGAGACCAAACGCATTCGCCTGGCTCCTTCTCTATCAACTTTAAAACTTCTACAAGAATCAGATAATCAGTATAAGGTAAATATGTAACTAGTTTTGAACAGGCACCACGGGCTCCCTAATTTTTTCTGTCCCCAAAATACATGGGAATATATGCATGAGATTGAAAGCCTTTTTTAGTTTTTGTTGTTGTTGTTGTTGTGTTTTTTTTTTGTTTTTTGTTGTTTTTTTTTTCGTTTATAAGAAAAGAAACGAATGTCTTGATACAATTGTCACAGCAAACACGAACACGCAAAATACTAGGACTAAAATTAAGTTTCGAAATTAGGAAACCCACAAGTGATCACTCACATATGGTCCGTGTCCGGGAATCGAACCCGGACCACAGCGGTGAGTGGCCACTAGCTTAACCACTAGGCCACCCATGCCACCCAAGGAGATGAGAGAAGGAAGGAGATGAGAGAAACAGAGATGTACAAGGATCCTATGTACTGGGCTGCCTTCTTCCTTATTGGAGATGATGTCGCCATCGATTTGTAATCAAACATTTGTTGATAGTTCTCATTGATTTCATAGATTGAGATTTTTAACCATTTAACATGGACGAAAAAGCAATGCATATAAATAGCCCAGTGAATACCCTTTCGATTGGTAAGCTGCCCAACAGTTGTAGGTTTGTTGTATGTCACGAGGCCTTTATACAAGGTATCTGGAACTACTTACTTAAGTTGCAACTACTTACTGGAACGATTATTAGGGAGAATACTGAAAAGGGACTTCATTATTAGAGTGCAAATAATATAACCGTGAAATAGATGGTGACAAATAGGGAATACAGTAAAAACCCGCGTGTAAGAACACCTATTTTTGCGTTTCAGGCTGATTTGGTTCTTGTATAAAGNTTGAGTAATATTTTGATCGTTTGAATGATTCAAGAAGTAGTAAGAGCTTTGAGATCAGCGTTCTAGGGTTGGTTTCCTTCATTTTCTTGATCACATTGCTTTTCTTGGTCACAAACCAGGTCACAGTAGCTATAACGTGACTTAGATATCGCGATAAGACCACGAGGCCGAATGACATACGAAACAATACATGTCATGAATGAAAAGAAAGCGCTGATTGATTTACTTCGACATCCCCATGGAAACTGAGACTGCAACGCATGCGCTATCGATGCGCTACCAATTTGAAGCGTAATATTCACCACCACGACGAAATCGCCAGTTGCATTTTTAGACGTGGACTTCCACAGGAAGCCCACGTAATTATGTTAAGGTGGATCACAACTAATGAAACGCAAATTTTGTACTTTTTTAACTCGCTCGCTTCGCAAAAGTATTTAGTAAAACGTGCTAAAATTTTGATATAACATGCAGTAATTATTGCAGTTTTTGACAGTTTTCAGTATTTAGTAATTTAAAGGCTGGTTTTAAATGTACAGCGCATTTTCAAACAGTGATAATTCCAGTTTTCGACTATTTACTCTAAAACTAACAGTCGGATCATCTTGAAATTTTCAGAATTTGTATATCAATGCACACAATTTTAATTAATCAATACAATGATGTAACTATTTTGATTTAAAAAAATCGATAAATAAATGTTTGCAATGAAAAGTAGTGTTGATCTTTGATATGTTTCCATAAGAACAACTTTTATTTTTCAGGCTGAATGTGTTCTTATATAAATGGTACTTTATTTCCTAAAATCAGCCCTGGGTGTTCTTATAATCCACTTGTTCTTATAGTCGGATTTTTACTGTAGTAAGTGCTTAGTTAGAAAAGACATAGGAATTTAGTGACGCATAAGTCGTGCTTTTTTCAAGCATAATTCATTGTTACAAAATCAAAACACAGCTAAAGCTAAAATAGCAGCAAAACTCAAGTAAAATGATTTCAGAGCCTTATTTTTGTGCTGCCGGCGCAAAAACGACAAGACAATTAAATGTAAAATAACTACAACACGCAAGAAAACGCGTTTAAGATTGTTTAATCATTTTCGCTGCTACGAAATCAAGACGCAAGAGAGAGCTAAAACTAAAATATCCACAGAATACGGAAGGAAACGCGTTTAAGAGTCTTTAAACTACGCGCCGCAGCTAAATCAAGACATTGTTAGACATTGAAGACATTGTTAGGCTAAAGTAAAAATAACAAATATCAATATACAAATGAATGTGTTTTCTAACGAGTTTATTGTAAAAGACGAAACTAAAAATCAAGAGAAGACGCGCTTAAATTGAAATGACTAGAAAAAACCCTGTCAATAACTTACTTGTTTTCAAACAAATTCTATCACGCTCAAAGCTGCGTTAGAGTGGTTCTCATTAACCCGTGAAATACACTTAAGCGTATTACACTTTATTACACTTTGTCTCTTGTCTTCTATTATATTTCTTGGCTATTACACTTTATTACACTTTGACTATTACACTTTGTTTCACGGGTTAATGAGAACCACTCTATTTGACTAATCAATATAAACTTGACAAGAACCAGTAACACGGTTTTAAATTTATCCTTTGCTTGAAGTTCAAAATAAACCGCAAGAGGAGTTTGTCGCTTCTAGAGTTTTTGAGATACGTACCTTTTTAACATAAGACTTCGACTACCAAACACTATTTCCAGCAGCATTTGTAACGGTTATAAGTGTACCTGGCTAGTTGAGCTCCGAGGAAGACGTGTGCATAAACGCACGTGCATTTGTAATTTTGAAGAAGAAAACGAGACAGAAAGTGAGGTGATCGTACATTTTGAATTCACGCGTGCAACTTGACATTTTCTTGTGCGAGTTAAGTTGCAACGGAATTGGCTGAGTGTGACATGGCATCGTGCAACTTACAACATTTTTTTGCGCGACACAAGTTGCACGAAAAAAACGCTAGTGTGACACGGCCTTTAGGCATGCAAGACTTAGCAAATAGTTAGTTGAGTGGTATTCATTAACCCGTGAAACACACTTTAGCGTATTTATCGCTATTGCACTTTGGCTCTTTTGTTTTTTATTGTCTCTACGCAACTATTACGATCTATTACACTCTAATTATTACACTTTGTTTCACGGGGTTATGAAAACCACTCTAATATTGCAAATATCTAGGGATTCTATTCACATGAAATAGAGTCATTTTCATCTGTCTGTGAAATAGGAATTGTAGTTTTAAATACTATTAATTAAGCTTTATTAGCTACCAATAATTTAAGTTATGACATGCAAAAAAACAATCAGGCAAACACGGTTTTGATTTTGCCTTTTGGTAGCCTACTACACCCTAATAGTTACTATTAAACACTGACTAGTAGTGAATTGTTTCACAGACGGAGGAAAGTGASTCCAACGAAAATTTGCTAATGGTCAACAATAGGTCATATCCTGCCTTTTTATTAAATTATATACGAACATTATTCAATTCTTTAATTTAATTTCAGTTTATGTCCCATACGTGTATCCTGTCGAGTCCTCATTATCGGCTTTTTAAACATGGACAACACAATATCAAGACAATGATTGCATTGATGTAATACATTTTAATAACTCTCTGTTGTGTATGAATAAATAAATACTATGGGCGAAAAAGCGTTAATAAGCTATTTTAAAGCTATTTACAACAATGGCGATGCATTACTAATAATCACTAATAATATCTTATAACAATGAATAAAATCCTTAAATCTGGGACTGGACTCTTATCGGCAAATTTATCGAAAGATAACTACAACCAGAGAAACATACCGCAAAAAAACTCTTAAGTTGTTCCAATTGTGTCAATTAACGTCGTCGCTTGGACAAGGAAAAATATTGATTGTTTTCAACCATTCCCATGAGTTTCAAAAGATAAAAGACCGGCGACCATTTTGGAGGAATGAACAATAGATACTAATGAGAAATCCTTTGTTGAAGTTCCTCCAAGATGGCGGCTTTGACGTATAGTGAAAACGAAGAATTAGTATTTTTCATGAAATGATTTTCCATAAAAACATGGAAGGTAGAAGCTCTTTTTCACGTCACAATGGTAGTTTTATTCACAGTTTGTGAAAACAGATCACCTTTGGATTGTAGCATAGCTTTGGAGCTCAGTCACCAGTTTCAATTGTCAAATGAAACCACATTACGTCACTTATTAGAAATATACCCAAGTATTCACGTGACAATCTTAATCACGTCACACTGACTTCAAATATTCTATAAATTATTCAAACGTAGCGGAAGTAAGTGACAAAAAACTTTGTCCACCTTATTAATGTACAATTTACATACATATTGCACTTATTTGAAATTCAAGATGGCTGCCATACCGGAAGTGACCGGTCTTAAGAAAGTATAAGCAACAATATTCTTTCAGTTTATAACAATTATCGTRTGATCAAACCTTCTTTACATACAATAAGCTATCAATGTTAAAAAGACTACTTCAAAAGCGTGGCTTATTTACAGACTCAACAAAATATGATTTAAGAAACATCACTAAAATTCCTCTCATAAATATTCAAATTCACTTAAATTTGTGGTCATATTTCGCTTAAAATATTATTATTATGCACAAGGATGAAAATATATAGATAGTGTTATGAAATCAAAAACGTTTTCGACTATGAGTAATCTTAATTTCATAACACTATCTATATATTTTCATYCTTGTACATAATAATAATCACTTAAATTTAATCAAATACTATACAAGATTCTCAAAGAATCTTACAAAATAATGGTTTTAGGGTGCGGCTATTTTTGAATATCGAATTTGTTTATATTGCCATCACCGCATTCTTTSTCYTTGCATGATAAGCTATTTTAGACCCTTGTCACGTCCAATCAGTTTCATCTGTAGAACTGTGGCCCCGTCCACACGTGTCAAGAGATTTTGTAACCGCATATKTTTTTATTTGGATAAAGCTACAATCGTCGACAAAATCCAGCGAATTTCCTCATTTTAAGTAACACCTGCAGACAATTTTATCCCCCTGACAATGCAATGTTGTCATTGAGTATGTTACCATAGTACACAACCATCCAAAACAAGACCCACAACTGATGACAGCGGACGAGAACGAGAAAGGACGAGAACGTGCAAAAACATAGGAGAAAAATGCTAGGCTGGAGACAAATAATCATATGGTCCAAGGTATTTTGGCAACGATTGTAGCTTCCACTCGTGTCCACTTGGTATACRSKTGATATCTCCGCATTGTCTTTTGAGATTACTGTATTCGGAAACAAAACCTCTGGACTCGTGTCGACGAGGCCTAAACAAAACACTGGGCAATCATCCAGTAGCTCAGATGAAATTGTATATATATATAAGGTACAAGGCTTCTTATAGCTTATTGCCATGAAATTGCACGGATTTTTTCAACAAAATTCTTCGTTACACAAAACCAAACACTCTGCTAATGGGGCACCTTTTTCCGGTTAGAAAACAAGTTGCAATAGTTTAGTCTAGCCTTTCTCCAATCTCCCCAACTGCCCATGTTTGAAATAGCAGCCGGTCATATTGGTGGTAAGAACAATATGGAAACAAAGGAGAAATCTTTTCTCCATGAACCACTAACATCGCTGCCGTTGCTTCATCTGAAAACCAGGGACCGGTTGTACGAATAGTGTAAAAGTTAWWCACAAGAAAAAGAATCTCCAYTTCATAGTTTTCGCATRGATTTACCGAATAGTTGTACAAGTATTACTTGGGTTCATGCCCAAAAAACTGTTGGACTATCCGAAAATGTGTTGCTCTATATTTATTTGGCAAATAAAGTCTCCTATTCCAAAGACTTTGCCTACCAAGGAATACACAACTTTCACAATGGCCGACACTAATTAGCATATTATTGTTAAATTCATAATGTTGACAAAAGAAAACACTCAGATGATAGATATCAAAGCTAACGACAAGCTCTGAAAGTTTCAAAGAAAAATATTAAATCCTCTGGAAGTTATAAGGGTTGGAAGATAAAAAAAAAACACCAAAACGAGTCCACCAAGGCCTCAGTAAAGAATTTCATACAAATCCTTGTATTTTCATTCCTCCATAACTTCGTTAGTATTTAGTCTATTTCTTCAAAATTTTGCACAATTACTTATTTATGATAGTTCTTAAATACGACAGTGCTGAACGTTTCCTTAATATTGCCAATCATATAAAATCGATAGTAGGCAATTGTGAAAGTGGTCTATAGTGCCCCATTTGCACGTATCCATTGGATGAGGATTTCTCCGGTAGRCAGTGCTTGCTATCCACCCTTCATACAACCGATCCAAACCATGGTAACCGCAAAATGTTTATCAATAAAATATCATAATTTTACCATATTTCTTATCATCATCACCATCACCATCATCATCATCAGCATCATTATCAACAACATCATCTCATGTTTCAGTGGGCCTTCCAATAGTTCATAATCCATMTGTTTAAAAACCACAGGCTCTTTACGGATTACCATCATTTTCTGGCAACGTCTTGATCTTGGTCGAAGAACCCTTCTTGCGAGGCTCCAGTAAAAGCGACGTTTTGTASAGATTTTCTTCGTCCATAAGCAGATCTTTAGCCAGTAAATAATGTGCAACCTGACAAGATATTAGGTATTTAGATCACCAAAAGCTCGCTTACAGTTTTATGCGCCATCTTGAAAGGTAATGTGTCGACCCATGACCCGGAATCCGAAAAAAAAAGGGTTGGCTTTGGAAACCGGAATCGACGGCAATGGATAGGGAGGCGTTTTGATTCTTTGCAGTCTGAATCCAATATGGTGGAATTCAGAATTCTTGAATAATTTTGTATTTTAACATCGGGAATTCAGGAGCTTGGAATCTGGAATCCATATCGGACTCCGTGCCATAGGACAAGGCACGATTTTGTAGTGTGTGTCAAGTCGCGCAACAAGCCAGAGAAAAGCTATTTAGTAACTTACCTTTGAATCACATTCTATCGAGTACGTTGTTTGCTGGTAGTGTCGAATCTCTTGAATCACTTGAGCAATCTACAAGTCAGAGAGAGTAACATTTATGGTCACAAAAGCGCTTATTAAAGGTATGGACAATAAGCAATGTGAAGGGACGCAGTTTTGTGACGCTGAGCATGATGGTAGTTGTAGTACTCGTGCTGATTAGAGACCATAAAATATCTCTTTAAGAGCCATTTTTACATTTTCTTAGTAGAAACCCTAAAGATATGTATTTTTGATTAGAAAAAGCAAAAACAGCTACGGAGGACGGTTGTAGCAGACATAAAAAAGTACGAGGACTAAAACTACCATGATGCTTTGCTGTACAAAATGGCGTCGCTCACAATGTCTATTGATCACATTTTTCATTGCGATTCACCGTCCTTTAAAGAAAACATTTTAATGTTTTAATTTTAATTTTAATTTTAAAAAGACCTACCATTCTCATTTTGGAAAAGTTAATCAAGCCTTCTTCATTGCAGTCAGGCGTTCCATCTTCGATGAATGCGAGATCCGTYAGGTAAAAACCAAGATATGGCACACAAGGAGGATCAGCACTGATTATAGAAAAACAAGGTTGCGTTACAATTATATATGTCTTGGCTATAATGGAGATGGTTACGTGACGGAGTGTGTATCAAAGATAGTTACGTGACAGATAGAGTGTGAAACACGAACATGTTGAACAATTGTTGTAGGCCAAACTTTTGCTGACCATATATGCTAATTTTCTACTATAAGAAAGTACGTTGTAAAGTTTTTTTCAAGTTTTTTCCCATCTTTTGGTGCTTTAAAATGTCTAAACTTACAGAATTTACAGAAAAATTGTTTTTCAGCATGTCGGCCATTGAATTTGTCTTAGTGCCCTCCCAACCATGAAAAAAGGGATCCCCCCTCCCAAAAAAAAAAACAACAAAAAAACAAAAAACAGGTAGCTCGCGCGATGGCACTTTGCGATATTGTTTGTCACGTATGGAATAGCAACTCATGATAAAGTGACCACGAACATTGCATAAAAATACGCTAATCACAGATTCTTTAGTTTAAGCCCAGTTCTCCTTGACAACTCGCCCCATTGTTTTTGTTTGTGGTCACTGAGCACAACTCGTGAAAGGGGTAACGCCTGTAACGTAACTGTCCGTTGTGTAATATGCGTAGCGTGTCGTAAGCACATAGAAGTCTACATACCATCTCAGGGCATCTCTCATGTTCTTAAAACGGCCCTCGGCACTRACTATCTTTTGAAGTTTGTCAATCTGTGATCGAGCCTATATGAAAATAGAATAAAGATGGTGTAACCATCCAACATTCTTAAACAAAAATTGTACGATTATAAAACAAATTCGTAGGTTGCCAAAGTTCATCGTATATGTTAGAAGAATTATCAAAAAAATAAAATAAAATAAAGTACAAAAAAAAATGTTGACTGCGCAACAATGATATATAATSTTTGTTTATCCAATATTTTCCAAGTATTGCCCATTATTTTATTTTTTTATGGTAGTCTTATCGACTCTTCATAGTAACTTCATCTGGAGAACAAAGTAAAAACTCTTTAGGACTGAATTGAACAAGAATAAATTCTGTTGTCTCCCAGATGTAGTTATTGCTGTCTGTAAATTRGTGTCGAAACACTATTTCAATCTTAACTTTGTGAAAACATGATCTATGTAGAATCCATTTCTTTCCCTTTTTCTTAAATCGTATTTTTAAGAATAATGTGATTAAAAAGGTACCTGCTTKGAGACTTTTTCCCACGTTTTCTTCAGTCGAAACACCGARCTACTGAGGAAAGCCGACGTTATTTCCAAGACGGAGTTAAAATTGTGCAAGTTACGGCAAAYCTCAGCTACATTTGCCCACTTCTCGATAACTGTAGCGCGRGAGGACGGAGTTTGACGTTTCAGGATTTCAGAAGCAACAAGTGCACTTGCCTGTGAAAGRAAAATAAAYAGGAAAAGGAGTTTATGACGCAATAGGTTATCGTTTATATCCACCGATGGCATTTCCTATGACAAATCCATATAAAATAAGCTATCATCAATTTTGCAATGAAAATGCAAAACAGATTTCGAKAACTTTTTTGAGCATCAWAAAGAAGTACAATGTTTTTCCCATTCCCAATATTTTTTCTATGAAACGACGTTGTTGAACATTAGTTGATTGATTAATAGATTACCTCATTAAACCGCTGACTCACTCCTAAGATATTCGGCGCCAGAAGGTTYTTATTTGGTTTCATCCAAGCCAAGTTCAAAAATTCACTACAAGGTAAACGTTACTTTATTTTAGTAAACTGAGGCGTCTTCGTAACTGTTTTTATTTTTTATTTTTTTATTTATTTTTTTGCAGTACTTACTGTGCGGGAATCTTGGAAAACAGCTGGTGTTCAATAAACGTAAGCTGTTCAGCGAGTTGGGTTGCCGAAATCTTGTCGAARCTGTTKGGRTCGACCTGGAATGGCTTTAAAAATGTACACTGGGTCAACGAATGCATATTATGAATATGACGTCATTTTATGACAAGTAATAGATGACGTCATAGCATATAAGGAATACTATGTATTTCTTATGTACACTAGGTCTACTAATGCATGGCTACAAATTTATATATGAAGTTTATAATTGCATGTGACGTCATTTTATGACACGTAATAGATGACGTCATAGTATAAAAGCTATAGTTTTTATTCCTATACAGTGMGAAAGTCAGTGAAAAGGATGTATACCTGTTTTAATAGAAGATTTTCAAAATTGGAATTTTCAGGTTTTCTTTTCAGCGTCCTTAAAAAAAGAAATAAGAAACTTACTACGTGGTAAGTGGATTCGAGTTCACCCGCCTTAATTTGCTTATTGACCCATCACTCCATGCGTTAAACAGTAGAAAAACTGGTAGAAAATGCAATGTCTTATGCAATAAATGAAGCCACGCAACAAATGAAGTCACGTGATAGTCCCAGTTATCTCAGAGTGATAGGTGGAGCAAATAATGATCGGTCATACCTGATAATGGCGGAGGCGAACTTCTGTTCAAGATTGGATGAGCTGTCGTGGTGTAGTATCTCTTCCATGAACGATATCAGTTGCTCTCTTAACATCTTATCGGACTCGAAATCCTACAATCATAGCATTACAAAGCCCATTACATTGTTCAATTTAAACCAAATGAAGTGAAAATAAAGGGTGTAAAATAACAACAACAACAACGACAGCAATTAACAATGAAAACAACAATGACGACGACGACAGCAACGATAATAGGCAATATGCAGCGACGTCATTTTGTGCAGCAAAGCATGATGGTATTTGTAGTCCTCGCACTTTTTTATGTCCGCTAAAACAGTCCTCCTAACAAGCTTTTGCTTTATCTATGTGGAAAATAGAAGTATTTGTGCTGTTTCTAAAAAGAAAATGTAAAAACGGCTTTTAAGGAGAAATTTTAGGGGCTATGAAAAGTGCGAGGACTACAACTACCATCATGCTTTGCTGCACAAAATGGCGTCGTTGCACATTGGCTATTGCAGCAGCAGCGACGTCGGCAGCAGCAATAACAACAACGTCTACAATACAACGACGACGACAAAACGAAGACATCGACCACATCGATAACAAGAACAGCAACAAAACGAGACAAAAACCGCTCCGSRTCGGTTTCCGATCCATTTACCGATACACGTTTGATTCATATCCCTACCTCTGGATGTTTTGTAACCCAATGACGTAATACTGTAAGGACTCTCATTGTAGCAAGATGTGTGTCATGTGACAGGATATGACGTACTGTCAGACCTGAAATCCACATTAAAAAAATCCGGTGTTAGAATAAAGGGTTTTCATCCAACTGATATAAAACAACCGTAAGGGTAATTTTGATAATTACACTATGAATAATAAGTAGAATAGACGCATTATTACTAAGTGAAAAACGATCTTCGCAGCGAAATATGAACAATCTATCTTATAATGGTCTCCTTCACGATTCCCTGCGCCATCTTGAAAGGAAGCCTTGCCTTTACATAGAAGCCAGACGAACGTTGAGCGTGCAATGATCGATACCTGTGAAGAATTGTCTTTAGGTGTGAAAGAAGGTTTCTATCATTGCACGCTCAACGGTCATCTCACTTCGATGTACGAGGTACGACTACCTTTCAAGATGGCGCAGGTAACCGTGAAGAAGGCTATTGAATGGCYCGATGATCGGACTTCAAACGGGAATCCAACCCATGGACTATGGATAGTCGGTGCAGTGCTCAACAAACTAAGCTATGCAGAAGCCAACTATGTTAGTGAGCGGTCATGCCACTGGGCTAATCCAATCACTCTCAAGAGATCTTTCAAGGTTACTCACCAAAACGAAATCTCTGTATAGTCGGAGAATTTCCGCCATAATTCGGCGATGGAGATGCGCCCGCAGTCGCAGCAGCAAAAGCAGCAGCAGCTTGCGAAATGCTTGATCGACGTCTCGATGGCTTGGATGACGTCACAACAACACCAGCATTCACCGGGTTACCCGAGGGAGATAAAGGAGACCGGGGCGAGCGTGGCGAGTTTAGAGGTGACATGGAAAGACTAGGCCGACGATCTTGCGTTTGAAGATTCGGGGAACTGGGTCGACGMGGTGAGGTGATTCCTGACAGGCGTTCCTCGGCCTCTTTKACAAGTTTAGCAAAGCGAGATGGTGAACAGGGACGGYGGTTACCAAGCGACGCTCGCGGCAWTTCTGGACTTAGCGTGACATCCTCTTCGGTGACTAAKGGGGGTACCCCAGGGTTCTCTTCGTGGGYCTTATTCACCTGTAATGCTAACCCCATWACCTTTAGTACCTTGTTCTTTGCTTTGTCCGTGTGGTTTTCTTGATCAGGGGGGGTTTGTCGAAGGCAGTGTGATGACGTRGATCCGGTCATTGGYAAAGGCGCACTTAGTGTTGGTGATGGACTAAATGGATCCATGTTTAGTTCCGAGCCTGAATCTTCGTCCACAGTAGGCGAGGTCACTAGGATTTGCCCTGATGAGCATGCGCGATGGCGTGTGCGCATCTTTGGWGGATCTTGCAATTCAAACTGCTCAGTGTCATCATCACTWGATGACGGCGARTAACTGTATGAYTGATTCTCAACTGTTTCATTACACGTDCTCTGTGCACGTGACCTGACTTTTCCACACGTCAAAAACGGAGAGCTTTGATTACGAGACTTGCTTTCTGGTACCTCGTCGGTGGGGGACTGGACATCATCAGAGACGACTGGGAAATCAAACGCRGCTGTGTCGCCGAGCGCAGAAGGCGAGGAGTGTCGTCTATAGGAATGGTAACATGTGGGCATRAGTCGAGAAGGAGATTTCTCGGGCTCATCAGCGACGGAGTGTTCGACGTTCTTTGAGTTTGCCATCTTGACTCCCGACACTGTAATGGATATTTCTTGGTTTTTCTTGTCGCGAAGACGGTGACCTGTAATGACAAATACTCATATATTATTGTACAAAACAAATCATTCAACATAGATAGAACTGACGAAGGAGCTTCCCATGAAAGAGGTGAGAGAGGAAAGGAGAATATTCCCTTACGAAATAAGGAGGAATTGATGAAAGAACGAGAAAAAYMTCGTTTGCAAGAGWTAAAGAAATWATAAGTCAAGCACAATAAATGCGCTAGTCGCAAATAAAAAAAAGGCAACAACTATAATAACCAAACTACTGGAAAACTGTCTAATTCAGCAACAACAGCAGCAATATTAGCAACAACAAGAATAAAAAGAACAATAACAGCAACAACACCAATAACAGCAGCAACAGGAACAACAACACATTTAGCAACAGCAACAACAACAACAACAGCATTGGCAACAGCAACATTATCAACAACAACTACAACAATAACAACAACTACAACAACAACAACAGCAACAACAACAACAACAACAACAGCAACAACAAGATTTATAGCAGCAACAACAAAAACAACAACAAAAACATCATCAAAAATAACAGCGACAACAACAATAACAGCAACAACTGCAACCACAAAACTAAAGAAACATTCAAACCAAAGCAAAGGTAAAACAGTCACTTAAACTGAGAAAATACGAAGTCAGACAAAACAAAACAAAACAAAAAAACACGATACTAACACGGTTACGACACGAAGCGGTGCGCTTCCAACGTAAACGTCTTTTAGACAAATAAACAAGCCTTAAACCTTGACGTTTGTCGTTGCTCCTATCACTTGGTAGTGAAACTGATCGAGTTTTCCGTGCTATAGGCGAGAACACATCGTTCAGCGGCGACGGCGTGTCCCTTGTGTTCCGCGTGTAGTARAACTGGATCAACGTGTCCAGTAAGTTGGTTGCGTGCGTGAACACGCGATACGTAATGAGAAACGTGTTAAGAAAGTCAATGCTTAGAAAACGAATGTCTAGAAGTCGCTCAAATAGTCTTTCTAGTTTAGCATAGCGGATCTGAAAAGAACAAGAATAAATTATTGTTAATAGCTGCCTTAGGAGGTGAAAACAAAGAATTGATCGTTTTCACCCATTCCCATGAGATTCAAAAGTTAAAAGACCGGCGGCCATGTTGGAGGAACAACCACAATAAATGCGCTTTGTGTTTGGTAAGGWCTTTAAGCAAGATAATCTGTTGTCAAAAGTAGCAGCGACTTTAAATTCGCTTTGAATCCGAAAATGCTGTATTGACCAAAGCTACAGTCATGGACAAAATATACATTGGGACATCATCAGCGAAATGGTGGTTTTATCGAAATGCAGTACTTATCGAATGTTTTTGTATGAAAGGGATTTCTCATTTAGGACGCTGTAGTTTTCGCTAAAATGACAATGTTGTAACTCAAAGACAACCCTTAGTAAGCCACAGATAATCTTGAAAGTGTTTCCCGTTTAAAAAGACTACATTGTGTTTTTTAAAAGTCATTTTTGATGACATTAATTCAAATCTGCAAGGAACCACTCGTGTACAAAAGTCAAGAGTATATCGTAAATTCATATTTTCTATATTATACAGTGAAATGTTCTAAGTGTTTTTAATATTTCCATCGTGACAAATTAAAAAAAAACATAATTTATTCAAACATGACCTATTATTGACTAAAGATTTTTTTTTTGTTTTCAAAAAGACAGCCTTATTTGGGATGAGCACAACCATTCGGGAYTACATTTTTTGATCTTTTACTTTTTAAGTCAAGTTTTTGTCATCAACTGACCTGTATYTTAATAATTTTCCTCACTTTGTCAACCCTTCATCGATTTCTAATGTCACAACGACCTTTATTTCTTTTCACAGGTTCCTTTTCTTTTCATATCGTCGTTATTTGATCGAATACTACAATGTGGACTCATATTTTAARTACTGTATATATTCTATGATTCTGATTTCGTATTTTTTAACTAGTTCATGTACTCAATGTTTGTCCTGATTTTCACTATTTGCTCACAGCTCATCGTTAATTTATGGCTAACAACGAGCARAATTAAAATGAAATTTGATATTTAGAAACAGTAAAAAAGTATTTTTTCCCCCAAAAAAAGTCAGTAAAACAAAAAACTGGACATACCTTTGGTAGCTTGCAGGAATTGAGGGCCTTACAGTACTTGATATCATTACCATCGGTAAACAGCCTCGAGTCAGATCTAAGGATTAACACTATATCAACACTTACTCGTGTCATTCAAGAAAAACAACCTATTGCGCATGCGTTTTTCAGCTTGTTTGCGATCATTTCATTTCTTGTAACTAGGCTTCCTGTGGTTGGTTTGAACGAGAAGTACTGGTGGACCTCTTCGGATATCAGAATACAGCTATTTCAAAAMMTTTTGTCTGATAAAATGGCGAATGTCAATGGTCGAAAGGCAATTGCACGACCGAAAGTAGYCATGGGTTTTGCTAGTTGAAAAGCAATAGCAACTGAATTGTACTGTGTAAGATAGACTGTAGTTAACATTGGCTCCATTAAGTCTTCATTTCTATGTATGGTGAATCCAATAAGTGAAATTTTGTTTATCAAAACAGTGTAACCATAGTCCCTTTCGGTAGTGCAATCTCCCTTCGACAATCGTCGTTTGCCGTTCTCCCCGTCAACATTTTTTGAAATAGGTGTATATACTCGTTTTCTGATTGGTCAAGATCTGCCAAAGTGAGTCAAATGTCAGCGTCCAACATTTTCTWTGTTTTACTATGATACACGAATATCATTATCCAACATTTTTTTGGGAGTCTACCATAATGGTTATCTTATGAGTACGCGATACTTCTGCATCAGTGTTAGCCTCGTCCTCGCCCTTTTGGGATCCCTGTGGTATTCTCTTGGTCACACACACACTCCATCAAATACAGGAAGCCCAAAAGTAGAAAGAAAAAGCGATGTGCGGAGAAGCCGCAGTGGCTGGTTTCCTACCTCACGCTGGCTAAGCTCTGTCGTGACGTAACAGATACTGTATCGGCATCTTCTACGAGGGACAGATTTTCGATGCACTAYGAAAATGAGAGAAAATAAAGTGGAATCAATAATATACGCAAGATCAATAGCTAACTATCATGAAAAGCGACGGTTAATCTAATTTCAATTCAAACCATCGAACTTTAGAAATGAGAAAAATGATCAAGAAATTCCTAATATAAGAACGGAAGGAAGAGTCAAAAAGAACTGTTTTCTTTTAATTGAAGAGTTCTATTAGTTTCCAAAGTCTTTAACATTAAAACCACGTCAATCGCCGTGGACTATCACAATCCAGCATTCTGATTGGCTGCTGAACTATGCTTTATTCATGTTATACCATCATCACATCTAGTGAAGCAAAAATAGCCGAAAAATGTCGAGAAAAGTCTTTGTATGTTCTTTTGTCAAATTTGTCCTACAGTTTGCAGGATACTAAAACAATAGGTCTTGTGGACTAAAAGATATGATTTTCCATTCTGCCAAGTACTGCCTCATGGACTATCAAGTCGCAGAGCACTCGACCACGTGGTCACATTTAKTGTTAAAGGAATTGTGGAGATAGTAGTTGTGATATTGGTTTCTCTTATCCTACYTTTACTATATATTATACACCCTTCTTCTCTTATACCCGGACGAACGACCAAAACATATGTAATTTTTCTTCTTTTGAGGTTTATCATTTCATCACAAAAACATTGGAACCCCGCTTTACGGCCGACTGTAAATAGGTGTATACCCATTAAAGCCTTATGCCAGTTACCTGACTGATGTCACTTGTCCATGCGGCTTTTTCCTGCGCAGTTGGCGCCATCAACGTGATTGTGATTGGACTGCAATCTTTATCACGTGATTTGACGATTAACTTGAAAGTGAGGTCATCCAAGTCGTTTAAGTCTTGTGTAGAACGAATACCACAAAGTATCTCACCATCTAGAATATCTGAGAAGATGAAAATAATTTCAGGACTGTTATTTACGGCTTTTTTATATAAAGCATTTGGAATTCACAAGATAAGGATTAAAGGGCTTTGGTTCTATATGCTTCAAGAATTAAACGAAAGTCCATTTTTGTAAAAAAAAGAATAGAAAATATTTGCTAAAATGAATAGAAAATTAAAAAAATCCGTTTCCTAAAAAGCAATCAAACCTGAATGGGACTTTGAAAAACGACTAATGCAGAATTCATCTGRAAGAATTTCAATTCCCGCATAATTGCAGTGCATTGTGGGATCGGTTTCTAGAGAAAACGTAAAGAYCTAAGAGGTCTATTCGCTCTTGAGTYAGCGGACACTTCCCTTTGTAACGTTCTGGATCCGGCACCTGATTAAYATTATCAATCACTGCATTTATCGATTATACTTCAGTAATTACCCTATCGCATAATTACGTCACATCAAAACATTGTATTGTTTTAACGCTAAGGATTATGGTCGCCAGATGGGATCAGAGTGACTGCATATCAAATAGAATGTACATGAGCAATCATTGGTACATGATGCATACCAAAACTCGATATACTAAAGTTCTACTTTCGGAAAGAATATTAATAGACACAAATTTCGAGTCTTTTTTAGCTATCGACAATCTAAACATACTGTGACGTCATTATGCCATATGGCAATCAATGTTATATTTAATGAGCAATCAGCATTACCTTCATCAAAACAATCATCGACCAAAGTTGTATCAACAAGAGAAACCACAGAACTGTTCTGTATTCAAAAAAGGCAAGAGAATTACACGTGCACGATCCGACTTTTAAAAACGTTTAAAAACTTTTAAAAACTAGACTCCAAATCTATCGATCTTAGTTTGCTTCCTACGAGAGCGAACTAGGATCAACTGATGGCACCGGCACTAGAATGAGTTGAAAATATATCTAAAAATACATACACAGGGCAACTAATTTACATTTTTTTTCCGACGTGAAGCCGACAACACGACGAATAAACAGGGCGGTCGAGGAGCAAGAAATTCATGTCGACCGCTTTACGACATCTTTCCGAGATGAAGTCGACAATACAACGAACGATTAGTAGGCAAATATATCTCTGTTTCTCGAGATAAGGAAGCATAAGCAACAAGAATTTCAGGCCGATTGATTTACGACATCTTTCCGAGATGAAACCGACAATATACCGAACGGTTAGTAGGCAATATACCTCTTTGACTCTCGAGATAAGGAAGTTTCAGCAACAAGAAATTCAGACCGATTGATTTACGATACCTTTCCGAGATGAAGCCGACCACTTGACGAACGAGTAGTGAGCAATAAATAACTCGAGAAGAGGAAACACTGCCTGACGCTCTCTTTGCGAGTGTCGCTGGACTTGAGTGAAATTCCGCCAAATGTCTTGCCTTTGCGACTTTCGGTGACTTGAATTAAGCTTCCTAAAATAGTGTCATAATAACTGTTAAAGACCGTTCAGACTTGTGTTTTTGCAGAGCGATTCTCGCGGCGRTAGTGGCGCGACCATCACCTGAGTTTCGAACATGCTTGAAAATTGGCTACAACTTCACGGAGATTTTACATCGCAGCAACAATCACAGGGTTGTTTACACGTACGATTTTAGTACRATTTTAGATCGCGCTGCAAGAATSGCAARTGTAAACGGGCCTTTATACGTTGATGACATTGAMAGAAGTGGCAAAATCATTAGCCATGATGTACCTTTCAGAATTATAGATGTCGAAAAATTAATTGCCGACCTCTCTGAGATTTGAACCCACGACCTTCGGATTTGTTACCGCGACCTATACCATCTATACACACCGGCTTGCTCCCCGTCTGACCTTGTATGTAGGCCAGCTGGTAGAGCATCGGTAGTACAAACCCGAAGGTCGTGAATTCGAATTCCAGCGAGGTCGGAAATTTATTTTTCCGAATTTAATTCCAAGGTCTTTCGCCTGGAATAAACTCCTTCTCAAAGTACTATAACTTCSCATTATTTTTAGTTCATTACTAGGTCTGCTAGCATATGATTAGATTACATCATAATCTTATCGTGTTTAAAATCTTTCACTCGTTCGTCTCTACGCGCACCCAAAACTAGCTAGCCCGACTTCACGCTCTAAAAGCGTCCAGTATAATTCGAAGCGCCACGCAGTCCACAATATAATTAAAAACATTGAAATTTCCAGAATTTCGATTCACAAGGAAAAGATTAAGTACACTTATATATTCTTTTTATACTGTCTGATGAGTGCGTAGCACGAAACTCGGAGTTAAAGCAAAATCTTGCCTCTTTGATATTATATATATTCTTTTTGGCATATAGTTTATATAGAAAGAGAATTACGAGAAGGTTTCTCATTTTACTGATACTAATGAATATTTCGGCCAAAGTATCCCTCCATTCAGGATACTCCTAATATAAAGTTCCTAATATATTGCCTACCTTGTCTAATAAAGATTTGATTGACATCAAGCAGCATTTCGCAGCCCTCGGCAATCTGTCTCTCAATTGACAGGTTTTTACGAATATTCTCTGTTTCGCTAACTTCGTCATGCATCACCGTGGAGAGATCCTCCAAGACACTCTGYGCATAYTCCAAAGCATTTCTTTCCACGTGATCATGTGGAGTGAGTGACAGTAGCTCGTGTAAGGTAATGATGTATGCTGGGACCTGAAAACGGCAAAATAACATTTTTTATTACCCTATTTCTTCTAATCAACTATCGGTACTCCAAATAGTGGRAACTAGCGGTAAACTAGCATGAGCTGGGTCGATGTTTCCAAAGAAAGTTGTGCAATAAGATAAATTTTAAAGACCAAGTGTGCACTATTATGCTKTGGGGGCCGCGAGGGACTGGAGGAGTTTACCGGAAGTCTATCAATTGAACTGTGCATTTCGAACACACTTTTCTAAGCACTTTAAACGCTAATATTAGAGTTTTCAACCATCTGACATTTGTTTTATGGTGATTTATGGATACTAGAAATATTTTGGTCCAAACGCATAAAAAAGCATAATGGTCCAAACTGGGCCTTTAACACTGCAAAAAAGTAGGTAAAATAACATACTGACGTCATGGACGTYAATCCTTCGTCGACTTTACTCCGTCAGTAAGTTATTTCATAGCGTGGCTAAATAAACTTTGTGSGACTTTAATCAAGAAAATAAGAAAAAAAATTGTGATATTGCTTTATATGGGGCATGGACTTGCCATACCTTCAGTAAAGCCCTTGCCGAAAAAACAAAACCGAAACAATGATGGAATGTTGTCATTAAATCTCCCAATATTGCACTTCCTTTGAATGTAGGCGGGAGACATGGKTTTTTTTCGGAAAGCCATTTTTAGTGCGGTTTCTCTGAATTACGGACTTGTTTTTTTTTTCACGGCATAGGGGAATGGTTTGGAAAGCCTTGTTTGTACTTCTTTTGTATGTTTTTCTTACGGACGATGGAAATAGCAAAATGAGTGAAAATAAACACTCTCTATGAGATTATGAAATGAAATATYTCGATATTGATTMCAAATTTTTGTGCATTTTRAAGAMATAGTCAAAAGAATAATTTTCGCTCWGTTCATTCAGATGTGACCAGTTTGGCTAAAACAATWGTWAAACAAAAGATTGWACACGGTCACGCTTGAAAAAAAAGTGCACAAAAACCTACAACAAAAGTCTTCCTAACCATTTCCCTCTCTATAAACTATGTTATGACGCGGAATAACATAAAGTTTTTTATGTGTGTAATATAATTTTTTTTTTGTGGGTAAAACTATGCTAATTTTTGAGCAACCCTCTATGTGATGACAAAACCCCGCCTGTATACCATAATAACATTAAGAAACGTAAATAGAAAGCAGTCTTCATTTAATAAAAAAGAAAATAGCTTCGGAAATAATTCAACAACGTCCATAATTGTTATTCCTGAATTAAGGTRCGTATCATTTGGACAACGCGGAAAAACACGAATATTCGCACACGGTATAATTTGTAGATTTCGACTACAAATCTAAGAATACACTCAAGCTAAATAAAGTATTGTCAAGTATCTTTTATAACTATGTTATTGTAAATAATTCTGAGCTGATTAACCAGTAATGGAAGAAAAAAAAAACGAAATCAAACATTTTCCCGTCGGAAGTAGGCGATGCTATATATAGATCACAAACCACAAAAATAGAAACTAGGATTTGAAATTTTAGAGCGCTTTTTAAATAGACMTCCTCCTTATTGAAATGAGGGGGAGGGTTAGCGACAAACACAAGAGTTCGGATTGGCTTAAAAATAAACTTTTATCTGCGGTTACATTAAGGGTTAAATATGAGAATCTCACAAAAATATTTTTTGGAMGATGTATAATCGAAGTCGGTTTGAGGTTGAAAATAGATTTGATTTGATCGATTGAAAATCAATTTTAGCCAATTCAAAATATTCGGTGACCTCATTTCCCCGCTTGAAATCGTTGCTAAGTAACTGAGTGTGAAATTGTAACCCAACATTTTCGTCACTGACAAAATATATATGTTTTAAAAGTTGAAATTCAGTAAAGTAAACAACATATTAGTGCATATATCGGTACAAAAGGGTTTTTCGGCGCCGCAAGTAAGGATCATAAGCACGTACACTCCCTGAAATCCCTTAAAAGAGATTTAAAAAAATTCAAAACGCGAGAAAATATATCGTCACTTCATAAATTGATCATGATTTGATATCTTTTACAAAATATTGCGTTGGATGCTTTTTCTTTAGCGCTTTAGGAAATAATGTTCTTATTGCATACAGTAGTGCCATAGGGGAATAACACTAGAATAATGTATATCCATTAGATTGACTAATAGCACAGCAAAATATCATGAATASACCAAGTATTTTCAAACCTTTGATGTTTTAGAAAAGTAACCAGACTTGACGTGCACGATAGATTGCTTTATCCATAAATTCCATAGTCCAAATTATACAAAGCGATCTATGCACTATCTCTAGTACTGACAAATGACAGGCTTACTAAAAGGATTATAGACGAATCTCACGATGTTCAGATTATCTGATCAAATAACACGAATGGATTTTAGAAAAAAACCTTATTGAACCAACTGCAGGCTTGAAAACAAACAYAAAATCAGGAAAAATATATTTTAGATTAAACATTATCTTGCGTGATCTCATGTTTTGTGCTTTCTTCACTTGTCACAATATATGACAAAATGTTGCATTCAGATTCAAAGTTAACGGAGAAATCGGGTTGATACAGCAGACTGGAGTGCTTCATTAGGAAAAATAAAAGCTAAGGGCAAAGAGCGTTTAGAAAGTGGTAAAACAGARTGAAAAAAGGGAGAGAAACAAACCGTTTACCTTGCAAAGTCATCAACGATGGTCTTTGTTTTGTAATAGCAGCGTTAAAAGCTCTTATCTTCAGAAAGCAGTGATTTATGCGTGTCAGTCTGTTTTCTCAGATAATTTTACGCCATCACAATTTAGCAATCACGTAGCTGTTCCGGTGCATATGACGTGTCAAAGTCGAGAAGAAAAAATAATAAAATCTATCTCTTTAGAAGGCGCTGCAACACTGTCGTMTTTTTGAAATCTTGTGTGATAGAAAATTGSTCGAAATAGGACTCGTGTTCCAATCAATCATAGAGATTTGAATCGTGAGACACAGATTGAAATGGTTGAATTGAMTGGCTTGTTTTGTTTATGTATATAGGGTATAGTAGTTAAATTCTCATGTTTAGGTTAAGTGTAAACAATCTTAATACATCATGGTGTTGTCACGAAACCCAGTCACGCTACAGTAGGGTCAGCTGTTCGAGGTTTGAATATCTGAAGAAACAAAARCTTCCGGTTTTGGCCGAGCTCTTTTGTCCACAAGTTGATGCATTTTGGTAGCTCTTAAGCTTGTTTTCCCTTCAACAGAGAAGAAGACAGCTAGGGTCAACCGTTAAATTTAAAATCGTAAGATTTCGTTCTGTCCAAATTTCTTTTTATAATCGCGAATGAAATTTCAAAGGCAAAAAAAATCTGTATGTTTTCTGAAAATACAATGTATCAGCTATGAATTCAAGAAAACTGGGATTTTTAATGCAACAGAAGTACGACAAAAGTCAAAGTGTGACCTACAAAGATTTTATGATGAAAAGTCAAAATAGCCCACAAGAAAAGCACTGGAGTGAACGCAAAAAAAAGTAAAAAAAATAAATAAGTATTTCATTTGTTTTATCTACTATATTTAGTTATTAGTAATGTTACGGATTTAGTGTGTCCACTCTACAATCAATAAGTTTTTAGCGAATCTTAAAAATTTGTTAAACCCGTGAAACAAAACGTAAAAACTAAAATGTAACAAAGAAAAACTATAGTAAAAAGGATTAATCAACTGTCGTACGTGTTCGTTTCACGACTTTAGAGAGCTGCTCTAAGCATGACGTTCACGGCAAACGGCAAACGGCAGAAAAAATCACGTGACCTACTTTTTAGGGTTTTACCGTAGTTTCAACGCGAGAGCGGGGTATTTTGGAGTTGCCATTATCGTRAAAAGTTGCTCTTTCAAATGACTACCAAAAGCACAAGGTCAGGAACGAAATTCGTAGGTCACTGGTCTATCTCTGCTGTTAGCCGTTTGCCGTAAACGTGATGCTTAAACYCTCTAAGAAAATTCAAAAGACAGCAAGAGCGAGTTAAAAAAAAAGTTTCAGTGGTTGCCGACCCGATGTGGCTTTTCTTGCCCATCTATTCCAMCTAGACTATCATCACAGCTTAACTTTTTGATGTCTAATAGTATYACAAATGGTTTTGATTCCTAGGTAAATAGAGGATATTACATGGGCGCGTGGAGATACGGATTTTATCTTTGAGTGTTGAAAAGATCTCTCACGAGYGTAGGGAGATTTTCAAAACGAGAAGATAAAATTCTTATCTCCAAGCGCTCATGTAATATTCTGTTTATCATATAGTTACATATGAAGCAAATTATGTTGTAA